TCCCTGCTGATCTTCCCAGGTCACCTGGACAGCAGCCCTGGCATAGCTATCGGGCCTTAATCCTCACCCACAGAAACTGTCCCTCTCGAGGGGCCATATCCCTCTCTACACCTTCCCCCTCCCCCCATGCACATGGCCTTCCTACTTGAGGGAAGCCTCTCACCCGTACAGAATCCTTTTGACTGGTGCAGCAGAGATGGAAGAGTCTGGGAGAGCGGGGCTCAGAGATTTCCATAGGTCAGACTCCTCTGCAGTGTTAATCCTCACCCACAGAAACTGTCCCTCTCGAGGGGCCATATCCCTCTCTACACCTTCCCCCTCCCCCCATGCACATGGCCTTCCTACTTGAGGGAAGCCTCTCACCCGTACAGAATCCTTTTGACTGGTGCAGCAGAGATGGAAGAGTCTGGGAGAGCGGGGCTCAGAGATTTCCATAGGTCAGACTCCTCTGCAGTGTGGTCACCCTTCCCCTTTCTCCTCCCAGTCGCACAATAGGAGGCCCTGCATCTGAAAATCCAGTGGGCACAAACATCTGCACAGAGTGTAGGAAGTGTGCAGTGTTGGGAGATTCATTTGGCCTGTGAGACTGCAGAGAACAGGCATGACATGTGTTCAGTAGGGGGCGGTTCCTAACCATATCCCCAGAAAACTTGGGACAAATGCACGCATTTCCTTTGTCCCAGGCTTCTGGGAGCATGGGAGTCTCTGATGCCGACAGCCTTTTGGAGGAACTAAGCTTCACTGCTGTTCCTTCATTCTACTTTTTGCTAGGTAGCAAAAGCCACCTCCCTCAAACAGCTATCCTTGGTGGCTTCTCTCGGGCATGCTCTCTGCTGCTTTTCTGAGCTTTGTGCTTTATCGGCTAAGTCAAGAACACACAGTATGCTGACTGCACCACTTTCAGAATCAACTTCGCTTTTTGCTGGATTTGTACTTTACCCTAGCAAAAGATAGTGCCTTCAACACTCACCCTACCTAACTGAGCTAGAGTTCAACACGTAGAACCAGATTTTTTTTTTTAAATGGGCATACATTCCCTCATCCATTGCTCTGATACTCAAAAACAGGGAAACGCTTTTTTAAAAAATACTGCCCTTGGCCAGAAAGAAAGCCTAAAGAACTGCATGAGGTTTGGAGAGTGCTGAGTGCCCAGAAGCGGGGCGAGAACAGAAACCACCATGTAGTCTTGTCTGGAGACGTTGGGGCTGTCTCTGCTATTATTTTTGCTGCATACCTCCTGAAATGTTCGAGTTACCAGTGCCTTGTACACAGGGGAAAGCAGAAAAGCATGCCTACTACACATGGCTATGCAGTAAGATTTCTCCAGCCAGCGGAAATGCACAGTCTTTCAAACGATGGAGCTTTCAGGGCATGTGAGATCTGAGCTTGTGCCGTAGGGCTACTGAAAACTGCTGAGAGAGTGGTTCCCACGCATACTTAATCTCGCTTCCCTTCTTTGTGTGCGTATTAATTCATGCTTCCCACCACTCTGAGTCCCAGCTAGCAGCCAGCGCTCTCCAGCTGCCCAGCTCTGAATGTTTTTCCCTTAAAGTTTCTCATGCCCCCTCCCCCAAGAATACATTCCTCACTCCCCAATTTGAAAACCTCTGGTGTAACACCTCTTCCTGCTGTACAGGAGGGGAGCAGAGCATGGCACTTTGTTCAGCCTTAGTTTTCAAAGAACTGGGGCTCAGAGTACTGGCCTGAAACCTGCCCCTTACACGGCCCACCCCCTTGCAGACGGCCTTGGCCCATCACTGAGCATTCTGCTGGATTCTCACGCCTGGCATTGCTCATTTCTACATTATGGGTGACAGCCCCAGAGGGTCCATTGTGTTCCAACCACAAGGGGCTCTGCCTAGCAAGCTGGACAGGGGGCACCCCTTTGCAGTGATTTACTGCCTGGGCCGTTTGTAGCAGACCCTCTGACACCTCCGTCGTCCTCAGGCCGCTGGTGGTTGAGCACGCCCAGCTGGCGGTGTTGTGGGTAGGGACAGGAGGTCATTGGTGTTCCCAGCTGAGGAACAGGGCCATGGCTGTGGGATGGAAGGGTTCCTGGGGTTGTTCTGGATGGAACAGTACCACAGAGCCAGGCTGGTGGCCCCATCCCCCACTCACTTCAAACCCTCCGTCCTTCCCGTTGCCACATGCCCAGCTCACGCATCTCTCGTGGAAGCACAAGGAATCAGCTCCCTCCTTCTGTCCTAGATCGTCCCAACAGAGTCACTCTCCTGCTCCTCACACCAACAATCTCCTTTCCCTGCTGTCCCTCCGAAGCGAGAGCTGCTTCGACAGCACCAGAGGGGACTGCAGGGCCCCAACCCCTGTGGAGTCCCACCACTCGCTTCTCCTCTCCCTCCGTGCTCCTGGGAGCCTCAGCGCCTGGGATCAGGCTGGGAATAACCCCCGCTGACTACGAGTGACTCCGCCCCACGCCTTTTCCATGCCTCTGCTGATGGAAGCTGCTGGACACCAACTCTCCAGGCAGAGAAGAGCCCCCACCCACAGCTGCATGTCTGTCCCTGCTAACTCAACCTCCCACTTGCCCTGACTCCATAACCTTGGCATT